CAAAACAATATTTTGTCTCTAAATGTTTGACTTTCAATCAATATTGCAATTTCACTATTTGTTTGTAAGGTTAGAATGTTTAGAAAAATTTTGTTATTATAATACAATTGTATTTCTTTAAAGGAATATTGATAATAAAAATTTATATAAAGATGTTGTTTGTTATTTAGATACTTGATTTTAATTTACATGAAATATATATTAAAAGGAGTCTATTAATAAATAATTTTTTAAAAATTTGATAACAAGATTTTATTGAGACTTTCTTCTAATGTAACGAAAATCAGTTTCTAAACCAGTGCTACCACTTTATGTGTTCACAACAATTGTCTGTCCACTCATATTAACCATTCAAACCGTATTCCACTGTTTCTTACCATTCAATGCATCCCATTGTTTGTGTCATTGAGTGAGAGGAAAGGCGTCTGAAAAGTAAAAGAAAACAAAATTAATTCACAAACAAAAGCATACAATGAGTTGAGAGTTGGGTTGAGGACCAGCCGTCCGACCAGTATTGTCAGCGTTGACCACCAAATGCGAGAAGTCGTCGCCATAAGTGATGTGAGGGGGAAGTCGTATGAAAGGCAGGCATTGACTGAGAGCCCAATGATGGTGGACAGGGAGCTACCGGTCTGTTGTGTGGCTACCACGAGGACATGCGAAAGGGTGAGAGGTATTCCGATAGGTACTCACCGGTGGATGCGATGCACCGGTAGCTAAGGACCATCCCATCGACACATCCACCGATATATCAGATAAACAGTATATACCGGACGGACAGTCTGACCGGACAGTCCTCTCGTCGGGCTATCGTCCACCGGAGCCTCAGACGAATACATCACTATTAGACCACCGCATGAACCGGAGCTCACAAACAGCCGGTGCTCACGACTGTCCACCACCTCAAGGCTCATCAGCACTACTGCCAACACCACCACTCATACCAACGCCAATGCCATCACTGGATCTTCTGGTGACTTGAGTGCAGACAAAGGATTTCGTCTCTCGATTTCCGATAGAAACTGATTTTCAAACCTAAAACTCATTCAATTGTTTAAAAATCCATTGAATAAATGGTTTAAAATTCAAAAATTGATTACCCGTTGATTATCGTTTACTTTAATTCAACCAATTTATTGAGTCAATACACTGTGTATTACCCAAGTATATAGTTATAGCGTGACTACAATTAAACGCAAATTAAGTCAACACTCATTCAAATTTGAAGTCAACTCTTCCCATAATTCTCACGAAAGATGTATTTCCTATCAATCACTTCATTACTTCCAATCCTTATATGGAGTTCTTTGTGTGTCATAATCACCTTAAGTGACCCTGTTTGTTTTATATTTGTCTCATAAGAAATGCATTAGAATTAAATAGCATATCATTAATCAATAGGACGTTGAGATCTGTGAGAAGACTGAACTAACCGGTGGTGTCGTTACGGACGAAAACACGGGTTATTTGTTTCAAGACAAATATTATTGGCAAATGAATACTAAGGACGGAATCATGGGCTACGCCACTCTCATCGTCAGTAAATGGCCGGACATTAAGGATAAGATTAAGACTGCATTTGTTGTCCCGACTTTCACCGGATTAATGACAGTCTTTGTTGTGGTGAGCTTTCAGTTTGTATTAAAATTCGCTTCATTTTAAAACATGTTTCAATTGATCAGAAAGACAAGTGGTTTGGCTATCAAAAGGGTAAGAAAGTAGAGAACGGGTTGACCACTGATTGGCCGTTTTTCCAAGACCTGGACATCACAATCGCCTTTCCATACAATAACAAGAATTCAAAAGTTTTTATTGTTTATAATGAGAACAAAAACTATACTTTATATGACTTCAAGAGTGTGACCGACCCGACGATAGTGCAGTCGGGGATCACATCTGTCAGACAGGACTACCTCTTGTTTTATGGGTTGAGCGAAGACCAAGAGAAAGACCCGACTCTTAAGAAAACATTGAATACCATTTTGAATCCGACGGCTGCCCTGTCTTTTGACGACAATTTGGTGCTCATCTCTCAACAAAAATATTGTTCAATAGGACAAGACATTCAAGCGTTTGACAAAAAAGTTACTCAAAACACAGAATCACTTGAAACACACATTAAATAATGAATTTGTATTTTCAGTGCATCCCAACAGACAAGACGACCGCTAATCTCTTGAAGTGTCCTCTGGATCTTCAGCAGAGACCGACTACTATACCACCTGAAAGTACCTCTAATGAGGGCGAATCAATGGAATCGGACGCTCCCGTACCGCATACTCGGCCTACTGTTATGACAACTGAGGAGATTACTAAGCCTGTCGGTAGCAACAGGATAGTTACGACGACCCCTAGAGTGGAGGCCGCCCTCGAGAAAGAGACGAGAGAAAAGAAAGTACACGACTCAGAGTTCTGGGGCTTTGCTTTCATCGGAGGTATGGTCGGCCTCGCCATCTGCGCCCTACTCGGCATCCTATTGATCTCCAAAGTAGGGCCAAAGCGTCGCAAAGGGCTGACCACAGCACTCAAATAAATTGTCCAAATTATTAGTTTACTAAATTTCTTCAATTATATTCAACTCATTTATTGTCATTGTTTTTGTATAACTTTATTTATTTCATAGTAAAAACTATTCATTTATATTTGTTTTTTGTTCTCAATTTTGAATTTATTTATTAAATTTTGATTTCAATTACAGCTGAAGTAGTGACAGACTCTCCGCTCGAGTAAATAATAATCCGTTTTTTAGTGTCATTTTCCTTGGCTTTAATGTCTTTAGTTTCTGAAGAATTTTGTCTCAAATCATATGAACTCTTGGATACTCTATGCGGGAAGCCTTCAGTGCTTTTATGATTGCTTAGTTTGTTTTGGATCAAGAGATACACCAAAAGCAATGATGAGAGGATTATGACTATGAATAAGACAATCAAGAAAACAAAGAGTTTGCTCATCTGCTCGTCTTCGGCGTCGGGAACGGCAAACATCTCGGGGTCGACCTCTTTGTCCTCCCACTCACTCATAAATATCTGCATTCGTTTGCATTTCAGTAAATGTGTTTCAATTGAGTAGAATTGACTCAAACGACCCCCAAATACACCGCTCTCTCGGCTCCGGTTGTGCACCGAAAAGATCATGAACTGAGTGTCGGTTAAGAAATAGATTTGCTTTTGAACCACAAATGCCGACCAAATGCGTTGACTTCCGTTGAAATGGATACCAAAATCTGTCAAATTCCTGGGATAACCGGGTAATTGGTTTTTGTTGGCGAAATCGTAAGCGAAGTAATGGTTTTCTTGAATGAAATAAACTGTTTTGGTTTCCAACCAAAAGAATGAGTCGTCGATCGGACTATTGGTGTCGATTGTGAGACCGGGAAATGGATGTGTTTTGTGGTCTAATTCTTTGGTCGTCTTCAGATCAAACAGTATCGTCTGAGATGTGAGTCCGGATGTGAAGACAACCGTTAAATTGTAATTATCGGGAGCGACAGGAATGGCAAACACGGCCTCAATGTTGTCAAACATGAACCGATGCTCTCGTCCTAAATATGTTTGGTTTGCGTCGCCCTTCAGATCAAAGATCCAAAAGCACTGGTTTTTAATCATAAGCACCAACTGTTTGTTTGGGTTATCGTTTGACGGCAATGAAGACATTACATCAAAGAGCTTTTCATTGCAGACATTGCCGCAGGTCTTAGAGTAGACTTTTGTGCCATAATTGGTGTCCGTTGTGCCCGACCTAACAGTCGTGTCTTCGTCGTCCTCATAGTATTCATCGTCCGGTGCCTTATAATTAGTCACCGCTTTCATAGTAGGCATCTCTAACTTGATGTTAAAGTTTTTAATAACTATTTTATTGTCATCGTCCTCGTAGTCCTCTTGAGGGGTGCTGTTAGGGGTTTGGGCTGAAGAACAATACAAGACAATCAACGGGTAAGTCAAGGAAAATATAAAATTCATTTTAAGTTTAAGACTAGATTACGAGATAATCACTCAATGAATGCAATAACTGTTAAATTTATAAAATTAACGGTAACTGTTATTGTCTCGTACATTTATAATTTTACTAATTAAATTAAATTGATAAATAAATCTCGAGTTAATAATTGTTTTACATATTGACTAATTTTAAATAAAATAACTTCAGCAAACAACTTAAACAACTTTTGTAAACAACTTATTTGAGACAATGTTTTTCTCATCGATACTCATCTTAATGCCAGTCCTTATAGCCAATGCAAAAATTGATCCGGTGAGGAATATTATTTTATAAATTGTATGTATAAATTTTATAAATATCTACACCAAAGGATCTGGATGTCTGTGAGACTGGTATTTCAAACGCGGTTTACTCAGACGACGGACAGACTTACGTTTTTAAGAATAATTATTACTGGAAAACAAATCCTTTGAATACGAGTACAGGTATCATAGGTTTCGCAGATTTAGTGTCCAATAAGTGGTCAGAAGTTAAGGGAGATATCAATCTTGTGTTTGTTATCTATAAAGAAGAGTTGAAAAGTTTGATAACCGTTTTTGTAGTGGTCTGTCCTCTCATGTCTTTAGTTATTTTGAATACAATTATTACATTAAATTGTTCACAAAATTGACAGAAAGACAAGTGGACGGCATATAAAAAGGGTGAGCTGTCGAGTAGTGGACTGACCACAGAGTGGCCAAAGTATAAAGATCTAAAAGTGACCCTCGCTTTCAATGAATACAAAAGTGAAAAAGTTTATATATTGCATAACGACAACACCCAGTACATTCTCTATGACTTCCAGTTGCTGTCCAAACCCACGTATATGGACTCGGGCTCCACAGCCGTGCGCGCCTCCTCTTTCATCTTTATGGACATATACTCGACCCAATTGAGAGCTATAAACCCAATAGTAAATTATGGAGGCGATGGCGATCTTAAAGAGCTGATTGATCCCAAAGCAATCATCACTTATGATAAAGACTTTGTTGTCATCGGTTCCAAGAAGTATTGTATCATTAGGTTAACGTCAAATGCACAGGATGCTGCTCAGGTATCACATGTCTTTAGTCTTATTATTATTTTTTCAAACATTGATTTCAATTATTTGATTATCAAAATGAATGTCTTAGTGTGTGCCTCAAGAGTCGACATCAAAACTACTTAATTGTCCGCTTAATATAGATAACAGACCCAAGACCACGACCACTCCACCCAAAGTCAATACCCATTCAACACCAATCCCTAAACCAAATCCTACTCACAAGTCCGACGAAAGTGATGGTCAGATCCGAGCCATAACCACCACCGACTCATCCTCTTCCTCTACCATTGCTATTGTGATCATTACTATAGTGGTTGGTATCTCGTGTCTAGTGTTGGTGGCGGCCATCATAATCGCACGGATGGTCACTAAACCAGAAGGTGATGTGCGTTATGTGAGCTCAAAGGGTGAGGTATCACATGTCTCCAGAAGACCATCACATGAGGTATCACATGAGGCATCACATGTCTCCAAAAAGATATCCGATGGCTCTATGGTTAGGACGAGCGCCAGTGGCCTTTCCATCAAATCTTCTACTTAGCAATTGTTTACTAATTATACCACAGAATTGTATAGAATTGTCCATAAAATTGTTTTTCATTTGTTTAGTTTTAAAGTGTATTTATGCTTAAAAATGTGTTAAATAAACAAAATAATTTATTTTAACTTTGATTTAATGTTGTATACAAATTAATAATTTTATTTCATAATAGAGACTGAAATCAATCCATTCAAATGTTATGCAATGCTATTAGACTCTCTTTCCAATCTAATATAATAACTTATAATAAACTATTAAATTTTTGTTCAATAGCTTGTGTCTCTTATCAATTACTTAATTATCTATTGGTAACTTATTAAATCGATAAAGTATTGACTGTATATTACCGGTAAGTTAAAATTATGATCAAACCATATGAACACTGACCCAACATTTATTAA